GGGGGGGGGGGGGGGGGCGAGGGGGTTGCTGTCTCCGCCCGGCCCGGCAGGACCTCCTTCCGACTGCTTTTGGCGCAGAAAAAGCGGTAGCGGCGTCGGCGGCAGCAGAGGTTGGGTTGGTGATATTGTAACCCTAAGCTCAGGAGGAGACGTGCGGTTGGTTCAACTTGAGTACAAGTAAAGCTTCCGGGGATGGAAACGGTGGTGTTGGGGTTTTTCGAATAACAAAAGAAATAGCAGTCGGTTTGACATATTGCCCGAAGAAGAAATAACTACGTTCGCTCTACTGTAGTGTAAGGGGATATGCTACAGCACAAGACCAAAGAGGCTACTCCGGTTCGAGCACACCTGTGGTTCCCATGCGTTGATGTCTCGGGGAAACGCGCTCACACGCAACGGCAAACAACAGCTACGTATGCATCTCTGCTGTTGCTGTTGGAAACAAACCCGCCGTCATGTGGTTGATTTTCGTGCACCGCCTAAGCTTGGTGTAGGTTGCTGTGCACAGCCTACAGCATCACATAAGTGGGATGCGCTCGACTTGTCGCAGCAGGACAAGCGGCTCCTAGCGGTCTCTCCGGTCTGCCGCCGCCGTTCATGTGCCGCGTTTTCCCGACACAACAGGAGCAGCAGCATACTGGTAGAGAACAACCCACAACCGCAACAAGGGCGCAAACCACTGCAACAATGCACGATCCTGAAAACAACGCACCCCCCCTGGGCCGAAGAGTGCCTCTTCTCCATCGTCGGCCATGCTCAGGGCTGGCAGCGTGTCCCTAGAGACAGCCATGGCGGCGTTGAGCAGGCGAGGCTGCAGTGCAGCGAAGGAGGATTGATGTCCCACCGGCGAGGACCCAGATCGGGAGGTGCCGAGGCTGTGCGGCGCGTAAGTGAACCCATGGCACGGGAATATCCACGCCTGCAGTATCACCAGCAGGGTGGTTCCACGGCGATGCTTATGAGTCCTCATGACCTCCGTGCATGTAGACTGCTGTGAGGTGAGAGGTGTTGCTGTTGCCGTTGCTGGCAAACGGGGGGGGGGGAGGGCTCCGCGCCCCTGGGTAGGAACGCTATCAGATGGGCTGGTACTCCTTGCGGCCACCGAGGGCGAACCCAAACCTTCTCTCTCCGCGCTCCGCACGTTCGACCTTCGACCACGATTGACCCTTTGAATTTGTGCGTAATGCTGGTATCAGCTTGGTGTATGCGGAAGGTCGCCGTACAGCCGTACCCTTGCCACACCGCGGGCAACGGCAACTCCACAGACAGACAGATATGGATATCGGCGAGGAGATGACTGCTGTGGCGGTCGTGCGTTTGCTGGCATCCCCGGCTCAAGATGAAGAGGGGATCGGACAGCAGTGTTCTCGGGAGCAATTGGTATCTTCGCTTGAGCGGGATCTGCAGGGGCCGCGCGTCCGAGCGACGCTGCAAGGACTCCATGACATGCTTGTCGACGGTGAGAGCGGTTGTACTATGTACAGCAGTGCTGCTCCAGCGTACCACTAAGGCTGCCACCGACAAAAACGCGCACCAGTAGAGCAAGGTGTTATGATCGTCCTCCTTTCGAGGTTTCACCAACATCGGCGTACGGGATACGCACGGCGCAACACATACCTCCTGTCGGAAACATACATCTCCGGTGCTCGTACATACCGCCACAGCTTCCGATGCCGACTCGCCCCAGGACGCAAAGGGTGCAGCAGTGCGGACTCGTTTCAACACGATTTACCACCATGTGGAGCTGTAATATGTCAAACTTAGACTTGAAGTTTGCTACGATACACCCCCCCTCTCTTTCCCGTCGTGCCTCTCAGGCGAACAAAACCACAGCACTCCTGTCGGTGAAGTCCTCGACACGGTGTCCTGGGAAGCCTTCGGGCTCGTGGTGGGGTGCCTAGAGCGGTTTGCCACCTCCGCTAGCTCTAACAACAGCGACAGCATCACGGGTACTTTCGAGAAGTCATCGGATGAGGCGGAGACGCTAACAACGTCGCGCGACGCGGACGATTGCGCCGCCCTGTCGGAGAGGTTGGCCTTGGCAATGGCGGAGATTTTCAGCCCGAAGGAGCTGCACCTCATGGCGCTTGAGCACCTCCACGCCTACACCAAAGCAAGGTGAGACAGCCCCTCCGTTGTTGTTCCTTGTGATGATTTATTGTATTCCCCACGACATCCAACGTGCTCACCTCCGGTTTTCGGTTGACGACACCGGTTGACACACACGGGAAAAAACCCACGCCTCTGCGTCGCTGCCTCTGGAATGGCAGGACTTTGCGCGTGGTTCTAACAATCCTGCGGCGCAGCACCCAACAAATGGTAACTGCACGCCGGTGGAAGTTTTTGGAGGCTTCCTTGCGACCAGCGCTTGAAGCAACAAAACGCGTGGGTTTGGTTGCGGCTGCCGGCGACGCCCCGGCTGAACCCGGACTACCGCAAAAGTCGAGCGGGAGTGATGCCGATGAGGATCCCGACGACGATGGCACTGGAGGAGACGAAGAACCGCCGCCGCCGCCGCTGCCGACAGCGGACGAAGACATGCCCTCGCGTGCGGCGTACGACGCGGCCGCCTCCGCCGCGGAGACCGCGGCCGATTTCATCGGTCCCCTGATGGAGCAGGCAAGCGCGGAACAGGCACTGCTCGCGGTTTCGAGGGTGCCAACGGCGGGACGCGGAGAAGGCAGGCCGGCGGCGGCGGTGGTGGCAACAAGCGCCGGGGGGAGTGGCCGCGCCGTCGGGTCTGGGGAAAAGGAAGGCGTCTCGGCGTCGGATCTGTCGCTGGCGGCGTACATAGGCTTCGCGCTGTCGGCGTTGGAGCTCGCGGGGGAGACGTCGGTGTGCTGCACGGCGGCTGCCACCGCCGCTGCTGCCGCCACAGGCTCTGAAGACAACCCCCCGGCGAGGGAATCGCTGGCAAGAGCCCAGGAGCGGCTGGTCGGGATCGTCGTCGACAGCCCCCTCGACTTGCGGTTCGTTCTACTCCACGGGTACCGAGTGTCCTTCGCGAGCGGGGTCAAGCGGAGGAGGAAAAGGAGCGAGGGCGGTGGAGAAAAGGGGGAGTCGCACCTGCCGGCAGCGAAGTTAGGCGGGGCGGTTGGGCTTGGAGAGGCCGCCATTAACGGTGCTCTGCCGTGGACGCTCCGAGGGGTTTCGACCCTCGCGTACCTCGTGAGTGAGATTTTTTGAGCCGGATTGAGGTTCCGCACGTCGCGGTGGACCGCTTTTGTTGGGCGGGGGGTTCATGGGTATGTAGATTAGGGGAGGCGCAAGTTGTTTCCCCTTCCCATGTCGCTGGGTGTCGTGTGCATGCAAGCTTCCAACGTAAACCGGAGGTAGGAGGGCATTTGCTGTGCGTTTTGAGGCGACGAATTTTTCCAGCGCACGCAGAACGTGCTCTGAGACGGCCTCGCTACGCCACCGCTCGCTTGGAGCCACCACCCCCTCCCTCCCTCCACCATGAATCAGTATGATGTAGCAGCTTGTTTGTGCTCTTTGCTCGCGAAGACGTAGTGAGCGCGTTTTGATGCCTGCTGAGAGGTTTGTCTTCGTTGTCTGGACCCGGGCAGGTCGCCTGCGAGCCGAGGCTGCGCGACAAGTGGCTCCCCCTGGTGTGGTCGCGGCGGACGGAACGCCGGCTGTTTCTTCCGCACGCGGAGGTAAGGAGGCAACAGGGGAGGCCAGCCCGCCATCGGGCCAATTAGCACCACGCACACACGTATTATCAGAACCAAATACCGAAAGCCCGCGTGGTGCACGGGAGTGATTCGAGTATCATCGCACCGCCATCGCTCCGAAACAGAGGTGCTGTTACAACAAGGGTGTGAGGGTTCCCTAGTTCGGTTGCAGCCGAACCTCGGGGCTCGTGACGGCTTCTCTGTGTGGAGAACGGGACGTCTGTCGCTGGGTTGTTTGTGTTTTTGTAGCGTCCGATGAGGAGTGCATCAGTCCTGCGCGTACTCAGGCCGCCGCTCACGCCAATCCGCTCCCCCCCGACCCACATCTGGACGCGTGGTCAATGGTCTTGGCAAATAAGGTACATGAGTACTCCCCCGCCCCACACGTCTTCCCCCTCTTTTCCATTCGGCCCGGAACGGGTGAAAAAAAAGGCGCTGATGCGAGACAGGTCGAAGCGTGTCGCCAACAAAGGGTTGGAGCTGGCGTGCTTCGTGGCCGAGCGCCTCGGGGGGTTTCCCGATCGCACGGGCGCCTTTGCTTTTGACTGGGAACCCGGGGACGAAGAAATCGACGGTGCGGGTGATGACGGCGGCGGAGGCGGTGCTTGGAATGGCGGGGGCCGAGAAGAGGCGCGTTATTGCTTGTTGTTTTTCTGTGCACGATTCGTTCTTCGTTTGAATTTGTGCTTGCATTTGAGTTGAGAATCGAGATCTTTGCTTGCGCATACGAAAGAAATGGAATCACACCCGCTTCTTCCCGAACGAGATGCAGACACTCCGTACGGACACACACGCACATCAGCACACAATTACGAGTTTTACGGGTGGTAAAAGGCTGGCAAGGTTAAGAGAGCGCACAAGATGCAAGGTGCTCGGCAGCCCGGACCTCCTCTCCCACCGCTATTTTACGATCTTCCGCCCCCCTCCCACCCCCTTCCACCCCTTTCGGCGCGACGTGGCGGCTTGGCAGCAGCGGGATGCCGATGCCGGCAGCAGCACCATCAGCGAAAACACAAATCCTTCGTCGCGACGGAGGCTCTTCGACCCCCACCACCTTGACCTTGCAGGCTTCCTCCAGGTCTTGGTCGACGTGATGGTGTCCTGTCCGCTACCTGGCCTCCGCACTCGCGGGCACGCCGCCCTCATGGCGCTCCTGGGCGCCGCCGACGAGGCCTCCCGCTTCCGCGTGCTGAGGCGGCTGGTGGAGCTGTGCCCCTGGCCGAACGCGAGGGGACTCCTGCTCGACGCCTTTCGCCGGGAGATCGACCGCGCGCTGCGGCAGTGTGGGATTGAGGAGGAGGAGGAGGAGCAACAGCAGCAGCAGCAGCAGCAGCAGCAACAACAACAACAACAACAACAACAACAACAACAACAACAACAACAACAACAACAACAACAACAACAACAGGCTGCGCCGGCCCCACCATCGCTGTCGTCGTCGTCCCCGTTCGCTTCCGCGCTCGCGGGCGACGTGGTGTGCGAGCAGCTCCGGAGGGCGTGCAGGAGAGGACCGCTTGCGTCGCTGATGGCGGACATGGACAGCCGTACCGGCGGGCTGGCGCTGGCCCGGTACGCGCACAAGCTTGATGCCGTCGGCGGCGCACGGGGGGGTAGTGGTAGGGCGGAGGCCGGGGCGGCGTGGGGTAGGCTTGAGCTTCGCGAGCCGAAGAAGCTGCTGCAGAATAAACTGCTCGTGCAGGTGGGTGGGTAGGAGGTGTATAATGCATCCGCTTTTATTTTGTCGGGTGTTCGTGTGTCACTGGTTATGTAGACGGAGGTGTGCATTCATCATTTTTCACAGTGGAATAGTTTCGTATTTGTGTCAATGTTTGCTCGTGTAGGTCTGTCTTGCCCTTGCTGTCTAGGCCTCACGGGTTTCCTGCTCATGCTGATCGTCGCAAATGCCAACGGTAAGACTCCCGTCGCAAAGCAAACCCCCCCTCCTCCAGAGAGGGTCGAGCAGCAAGCAACAACTCCAACTCATTCGTTTGTCGCTTTATTTGAAAGCGCTGGATGGAGACCTTGTCGCACGCGATTCCAAAACGCAGCAGCATTTGTGTTATTGCCTCAAGAATCGCACACGCAGTAAACACGCACATCCGCACGCAATTAACTCAGGGGTTGCTGGACGAGCTGCGAGGAGCTGTGATCACGGCCGACAACGCTGGACCGGAGCACTTCCGGCTCTTCATTCTCGAGGACGCTGCACAGCAATGCCTTCAGGAGCTTGAGCTGGCGGCAGTATGATAGAACCAGAATAGCGCGCGCGCGCGGGGGGAGGGGGGGTCGACGAGGGGTAAACGCAACAATTCGCGTCGCCCCCACCCGCTCCTTGTTCTCCAGTAACTTCGAGCCCCCCTGCTATGTTGATGCCGATCCTCCCTTCCTTTCTTCATCGCCAGGCACCCATCCCGTAAAGTACGCACGTAGATAGAGTTCGTGTTCGTAGACATACAAAATGGCGCCGTGGTGGTGGGCATTTGACCTCCATATGGGAAAGAGAATGGGACAGCCCATAGAACGTGCTTCATAACAGGTTGTGCTGGTGTCCAGACTCGGCTCGCCATTCGATCGATCAATCGCTTTGACGCTGTCCCATGGGGCAGCTGGTGATGGGGGCCCCGCGTGCAGATGACACGTACGTGTGTGCAGCTGTCCGAGCCACCTCACCTTGGTGTGTGTGTGTGTCCGGGTGCATGACGGTTGCAAAGGTGCTGCGGCACTCGCAGCGCAAACAACTAGTCTCGTTGTGAGCGGCATTTGAATCAGTGCGGACACAGAACTTTTTTGCCAGTCATATTCCGGGTATCATAGGATCCAGGACGCCGCCCCACACAAGACAGAAGTAAGTCGAAGCTCAGCCGGGATGAGCACCACGCTTGATTTGTCTACAGTCATGAACGGTACACGTTAGCACGCGTGCAACGTGATGACACGCTTCTCTCGCAAGCTGTATAGCTCATCTTAGGGGCTGAATCCCCTGATTTCTTGGTCGTTGGCAAACTTCATAACAACAATCCTCGGGGACGTGTTTCCCTCTCCTTGTTATTTGGCACATGTCTCAGTTTTCGCGAAGGCAAGTCCCGTACCAAGTAGGCCAGCATACCTTTACGCGTGGCCAAGCTATTTCTGGGGGACACGTTTCGAGTACATGCCAGCGTCAGGCGTCAAGACACGAGTTTTTTCTGAATGTTATTTTTATTTTGCACGTCGTAGAGGGGCCGGGTAAAACGCCACCCACAGCAGTAGGACACCATTTTCCGGGCGAATACGCCAACCCGTGCTTTGCCGCCATGGACCTACCACCACCCCCCCGAGCCAAGCGGGTCTCCACCCCACACCAGAGAGGCTCAGTATCTCCGCATGTGTGGTACTTGACGCAACCTACCATGTCATCGCTGCAACACTGACGTACCGTAGGCTCACTGTTGGATCTCTCCCTCCCGACTGGGCATACACTGCCCAGGCCTGCTGCAAGAATCTGAGGAGTAACCCTGCCGGATCCGAGAAAACCGTCCAGTCAGTCTTCTGCTCCCCACTCCCCCCATCCACATTCTCATCTACAGATCCCCGCGCTACGGCACGCTTCTCACCGCTGTCAAACAGCCAATCCACGCAGGCACAGCAAAACAGCGCAAAGAGCTACACACCACCCGAGTACACTCCCACACCCACACAACGCCACTACTATATTGCTTAATTGTACACCATGTACTTGGGAGTCGACGAGAACTTCTGGTATCCCTTGATGACCTTGTTCACCGCGTCCAAGAAGTCCTTCTCCGAGATGGACTTCTTGCGGGCGCGGATGGCGAACATGCCGGCCTCCGTGCACACCGACCGCAGCTCTGCTCCGGTCGTGTTGGGGCACAGCCTTGCCACGAGCTCGTACCGGATGTCTCTGTCCACGTTCATGGACTTGGAGTGGATGCCCAGGATGTGCGCGCGCCCTTCCAAGTCCGGCAGCCCGAACTCAACCTGAACATAATCATAATTGTTTGGTCGGTTTCATTTCTTTTTGTACGAGACGATAAGAGGAAGGTCAGCGCATAAACTAGAGAGGTTAGTATCTACCACGGAGGCTGTGATAGTGATGACAAAGGGCAGCCGGGAAGGAGCGCCGCAATAAAGGGTGTTGGACTATTCGTTCGATTGCGAGAATTAACCCTTTCTCCATAGGTGACCGCAAAAAACCACTTGCTTGATGGGGGCGGGTTCAAAGACTCCAATGCGCACAAAAAACAACTCAAGACAGTCCGACCCCCCTCGCCCATTTGTAAGACCGGGGCAAGCACGTTGGAGACCAACCAAAGAGCTTTCCCGCTTGGAAAAACGATGAAATCCATGTGAGAGGCTGATTTCAGAGACCAGGATTTGACAGATCAACCGCCTCTTCTTGAAAACACAAGGCACTCCTCTGCGCACCCCCCGCTGGGGGGGCCCGGTGACAAGAAATAAGTGTTGGCGTTTTTTCATCTCTCTATTTCAAGAACCGACGCCTCGTCTTATCATTGATTAGCCGGTTAGCGCGGTCGATGACAAACACAGAAACACAAAACAAACAAATAATCTAGCCTAGCACTCGATAGGCGCTTTTTTGCGACTTAAATACATGCACTTTTCTTCCACTCTAGATGTATATTCAGGATAAAAACCCAAACCGACAACAATACACAAAAGGCAATCGCCAATCGAGTACAAACCTAAGAATATCACACGCTCTCCACGCATCTCACCTTTCGGTCCAGCCGACCCGGGCGCAGGAGCGCGGGGTCCAAGGTGTCTGGCCGATTGGTGGCCATGAGCACCTTGATGTTCCCTCTAGGGTCGAAGCCGTCCAGCTCCGTCACGATCTGGAGCATGGTTCGCTGCACCTCGTTGTCTCCCCCGCTGTCGTCTCCCCCCGTCCGACTCCCGCCTGCGATACATCCATCCATCCATCAAATCCATCCGTCCATTTTTTGTTATTTTGGTGCAAGAAAAGGCAGAGGTGGTTAAGCGAAGGTCGTCAAGCGAGAGAGAGTACGGCGAAAGAACGTATCCTTCCGGTAGGTTCACTACTAGAAACGTGTCAGCTCAGCAGTAGTTGTGCTTGCTGACTGCACAGCATTGAAGTGTGTCCTGCTTCGATGTGTAATAGAGGCGGAGGGAGCGACCGAGGAGGCTTCTAGCGGCTGCTACGCGAAAGCCGTCCTTGCCGTCTTCAAAGTCGTTGCTCCTGCACCCAGTACATACCTTCTCAAATACTTCATGCGAAAAAAAAAAGTTATGCTATCGCACCCTAAAAAGAAGCACAAACAACAACGTTACACCCACCGATAGCATCGATCTCGTCGAAGAACACGATGCAGGCCTTCTTGCTCCTCGCCATCGTGAACAGCTCGCGCACCATGCGCGCCCCTTCCCCGACGTACTTCTGCACGAGCTCGCTCCCGATCACCCGGATGAAGCAGGCGTCGGTCCGGTTGGCCACCGCCCTCGCCGACAGAGTCTTCCCGGTGCCCGGCGGCCCAAACAGCAGAACCCCCTTGGGGGGGTCGATTCCCAGCGTCACGAAGCGCTCTGGGTGCAGGAGCGGAAGCTCTACCACCTCGCGGAGTTTCTCGAGGGCGTCCTTGGCGCCTCCCACGTCTTCGTACGTAACGTCCGGCTTGTCCTCCACCGTCATAAGGCTCACCTGGGGGACAAGGGGGGGGGGGTAGCGGGACATTGGTTTCGTGACCCTTGCGCCTTGATAAGAGAGCACAGCATTGACTGTTGCTATTGAACGAATGCGCTCCACGTTTGTGATAATTCTTCCTGTGTCGCTCGAAATATCCGACGTCATCTCACATGGGGGGGAGGGGGGGGGCACATTGATAGCCAGATTTACAGCAGTAGCCCCCGCACAGCAGTATCGCAGCTGCACAAGGGAAAATAAAACGTCCTCCATATGTACTGGGGTCACGGACCAGGAGAGGAACCATGTCAGGAAACAATAGAAAAGTGTCTAGTACTTCATCTTCCCCGTCGCACTTGTCTCCAGCAGCCGACAAAACATGCTTCCTCTCCATACTTCAAGTGGAAAGAATGGCCCGGCCACATGTGACCTTGCTTGGAGTACAACCTCGCCGCATTCATAGCTATCTGGTCAACTGAACCCCACCCCCCCCCCCCCCCCCCCCCCCCCCCCCCCCCCCCCCCCCCCCCCCCCCCCCC